ACATAACTGATATGTACTGACTTATTATTGTTGTTAATTTCTGTTGCTAGTTTTCTACTTTTACTGTTTGTTTGACCTGCTTAGTCACTTCCTTTTGTGGATTTCTTGAGATTGTAGTTTTCTTTTTCTCTTTTTAGAGTGGCTTTCAGTACTCTTTGTAGTGTTGGCTTGGGTGACCATGAATTTCTTCAGTTGTTCTTTGTCATGGAAGTATCTTATTTCTTGATCTATTTTCAAAGATAGTTTTTTTAGAACACATCAGTCTGGGTTGAAAGTTGTTTTCTTTCAGGACCTGAAGTATTTCACTCCAAGCACTTCTTGTCTTGAAGGTTTGTGTTGAGCAGTCTGTCATGATTTTGATAGGCATTCCTTCATAGGTGTTCAGTTTCTCTTCTCTGACTACTTTTAGTATTCTGGTCTTGTGCTGAATTTATGATATCTTAATTATTATACATCTGGGTGAAGATTTATTTTGGTTATAGATAACTGGGGTTCTGTATGCCTCACTTATCTGTGTATCAGATTATCTTCCTATGTTTGTAAAAAAATTTTGTCATTATTTCTGCAAATAGTCTTCACAGGTCATTTGTATAAACTTCTGATTTTTCTTGACACCTATCAATCTTATATTGTTTCTTTTTGCATCATCTTGCAGCTGTTGAATTGTTGTTTCCTGCTTCCTTGTTACTTTAAAGAGATATTTTTTTCATGCATGTATGCTTCCATCCTATCTTCAAGGTCTGAGAGTCTATCTTCAGCTTCATTCAAAGGATTTTGCCAGTTTTCAATTGAATTTTTAATTTCTTTAATATCCCTTTGAATCCGGTTCATGCACTCTAATTCTGTTTTATACTGTTCATTCACAGTTTCCATCATTTCTTATGTTCCTCTATTTTTAAAATCTAGATCTTCTTTAGACAAGCACATCATTTTCTTCACAATGTTTGTCATTTCACTTTTTACCTGAGAGATTATTTCTGACCTGATTTCCTCTATAGCTTCGTGGAATTATTTCTTTACTTCATTTGCTATCATTTCAGAAAATTCAGTTGTGCAATTTCTAGTGTTTTCCATTTCAGTGTCTCTTGGGTTTGTTCTCAAGGCTGGAGGACTGAGACTGCCTCTTGCTCTTTCCTTTTGTCATTTTCCTCTGGGACCCATGTGGCTGGTCAGGCATCCTCCTGATGGATTGCACTATAATGCTGCACTGGGCAGTTTCAGTCCTCTTATATCCCCATGACTAGCCAGGCTACACACCTGACCTATGGCACCAGATCCTTGTGCTCTGTGGCCTGTGATGCTGGCTGGGTGTTCTCCTGATACACTGTACTGGGTTTCTCTGGGATGCTGGGCTGGGCAGAGTTTGAATCCTCTTGCTACTAGCAGGGACATACTCCAGGAGTGTGTTGCTGGGGCCCCACGATCTGATTTAGTGGAGTTGAGAACCTCTGGAACCCTAGTAGGGATGCACCCTCAGTGTGTCATCAGGACCTAGTGCCTGGTTGGGTGGAGTTCAAAACTTCCAGGACCCAGCTGTTTAGGTGGAGCATGACCACAAGTGTGGCACAGTCTGGATCTTGCCTTTGGCTTGGAGGAGTTCAAAGCCTCTGGAATATGCAGCTATCTAGAACATGTCCCTGGCTTGTGGTGCTGGGACTTTGCTCTTGGCTGGGTGGAATTCAGAACCTCTGGGACCCACACCATGTGGCTAGCTGGGCTGCATCACTGAACTGTGGAGCTGGGGCCTTGTGCTCTGATGAATGGAGCTCAAATTCTCTAAGACCTGTCTCTAAGACCTGTTCCCTGATGGATGGCTCTGGGGCTCTGGGCTGGGCTGGGCTTTGTACCTCTGTGACCAGTGGGGCTGCCTATATGTTTCCCTGATGAATTGCACTGCATTGCTGGGTTGCACAGATGTCAGATCCCTTGTATAGCTAGTGAGGATGCACTGCTAGAGTGTAGTGCCAGGGTTGTAAGCCTGGCTGGGTGGAGTTCAGAACCTGTGGGATCCAGATGGCTAGGTGGAGCATGAGCTGAGCATGGCACCCCATGGACCTTGCCTTGCCACTGGCTGGGAGTTCAGAGCCTCTCCTGAACACTTTTATTTAAAAAATGATACCTAAAAAATGGTTACCTTCTGGTCATTCCTACTTGGGACTGTAAATTCCCCTTATACATTGATGTCCTTATTTTTCTGAATATCTTGGAAATTTTCTGCTGTTATTTTACTAAAGAGATTTTCTAGGCCTTTATTCTCTGCCTCAACACTCAGTTGATAGTTAATGCCACTATTGTCACTGACTTTACTACTATATGCAAGATGACATCACTGTTTCTGTGAACTGGTTCTCTCTGTATGTATCTGGATTTTCTGTAGGTCATAAACAATACAGTGGCTTACTTTCAAAGAACCAAGCACTGAGTCAAAGAAGTCACGAATGCTAGTACAAAAAATCAGCAGACTAAAAGGACAGGGCAACAGATTGTCCCCCCAAGATTCCTAACTCCCCTAAAACCATTCAGGGGGGCATTAAAGGAGAGGATATCATAAGTCATACAACAGCAAGGTCTGAAAGAGTAACCAGACTCCATTTGCCAATCAAAAGACACAGGTTAGCAGAAAGAATCAAGAAACAAAACCAATGATGTGCTGCATAAAAGCAACACACTCAACCCCAAAAGAAAATCACAGCATAAAAATCAAAGGTAAGAAAATAATATAGTGGTACTTCGGTTCACAGAGTTAATTTGTTCCCTGGGTCTCGGGAGGGTGCCCTTGTTCCTGTTTGTACAGGGAAGGTGGCTGCAGTTGTGTTCCTCACCTGATCAGGGTTCACCAATGGAAGCAAAGTTCACCAATGGAATGCCTCTATTTGTGAACCCAATTATTTGTGAACAGAAGTGCTTGTGAACCGAGGTGTTTCTGAATTCCATTCAAATATATATAACCATAGTAGGTGGCCTAAGCACTAAGAGACACAGTCAATATTTAACTTTCTGAGAACATATAGTTTTTTAAAAAAAATTATTAGTACATATTTTGAGTACACACTGATGACTGTACAGTGGAAAGTCTGTACATCTATACATCTTAGTTCTTTTTAAAATCTTCTTCTCACATTCCTCCCTGATCCCTCAACTCTTGCTTCCCTTCCCAATTGTAAAATTTCTATTTCCACATTTTCTTCAACTCTCTCTTCCTTTTTTCCTTTCTTCTTTCTATCATATCTTGTTTCCTTTCCCATCTGAAAAAAAGAGCTCACTATTTCTTTTTTTTTTTTAAAGCTTGTAAAGTGGACATTCCAACAATGATACTGCAAACAGTTCTGTTCATTGATCCAATAAAACTCTGTGATATCATTTTCTATCTTATACACTTAAATATACATGCAGTTATATAGTTTGGAGCACTTTCTTTTCCTCTCTTTTGTACCATGACTATTACACATCTTGGGTTTCATTGCTCCCACGGTTCTTATTACTTTTTTGGAAGAGAGTAAAACCAAATGTGACATAACAGAACAGAATCGGTCAAGTCAAAAGGGTGGACATAATAGATAATATAAAAACATAATACAAGGTGATCAACAATGGTTACCATAATGCCTCCCGCTATCTCTAATAGAATTGCCTATATCGTTAGTTATAATACAATTGAACAAAACAGTAAAGAATAAAACCGACAAAACCAAAACATTGGAGACATTGTAGGTCTTCAAAAGTAGATAAAAGTCAACAAGAATGGGCGTCATAATGAATCTCATTATCTTCACAGCTGATGCCTAAACTTTCGAACCTGATACTATCCAGCAAAACAGAATAGGGGAACATCAGTTAAAAACCAGATGGTGAGAGTAATACAGGGCTTTAAATCAAGGTAATGAAAAGTCAAAGTGGGTTACTATAATATATCCTGCTATTTTTTTTCTTTAATTAAAAGGATAAAGATAAAAAAGTAAATAATGGAGTGGAGATTGAGATAAAAGAGGGCATAACAACAAAACAGCGCAGATCAAAACATAACCATTTAAGCAGAATAGTGTTTCACCACCAAATAATCCTATTTCTTTATATCTGTCTTTGGTTTAGGTTTCTCATATAAAAAAATCCAAATGATATTTAAACTTGTGCATGTATTTTATTTCACTTAATGTTGTGGTCTTGAGGTATATCAATTTATACACAAATGCTTCAAGTTTATTTATGGTACAGAGTATTCCTTCTATATAAATATCATATATTCTTTATTTATTCATCTATAGTTTTTAGTTTCATACATTTTTGGCAAATCACATTATTTCTTTATTCATGACTGAATAGTACTCCATCATGAATACGTACCACATTTGAAAATATATTCATTTGCTCATTGGCATTTATTTTGTTTTCAAAGGTTAGCGATTGTGAATTTTGTCATTATCAACACAGAAGTACATGAATTATCAAATTCTTTAAATCTTTTGCAAATTAACTGATGGTTGACATAGATCAAATGGTATCATTATTTTTAGTTTTTGTTTTAATCTACAATATTATTCCTATAGTGACTGTACTAGTTTATACTTCCAGGTGCAGAGCCATTGTATTTCTTCACACATGCACAACAGAATTCATGGTCTTTTATTTTTTTAATTGATGATAACCATTCTTACTGGGAGCAGATGGCATTTTTTAATTTTAAAAAGCAAAACAGAAAAAGGATACAAATGATACAGAATTTTTAAAAAACAGGAAATTAGCACTAATGTATTTTATATTGTTATCTTGGAAATACTTGTTAAGGTTATAAGATTTAGGAATAAAAAATGATCAAATAATCAAATACTGAAAGCAGGTTATTTAAAGAAAAAAGCAAAACAGAAAAAAGGGTATAAATAATACAGAATCTTAAAAAACTAATGCTAAGAAATCACTAGTTAATAAATTACGTATTGTCATCTTAGAAATAATTGTTCAAGTTACAAAATTAAAGCATTCAAAGTGCACAAACAATGAGTTCAAAAAATATGGAATGCTTCCCGAATCTGGGTGTCATCCTTGCACAGAGGCCATGCTAATCTTTGTATTGTTACAGTTTTAGTACATGTGCCGCCAAAGTGAGCACCACATTATTCTTTTTGAGGAACAGAGACTAGTACTGTAGTTATCTATCTTGTGTATATAGACATACTCACATATATGTATACCTATATACAAACAATCTTTTCTTTTCCTCCTTTTCTCCTTTTCTGTGTCCCAGTGTTCTTTCCTTTTGAGCATTTTCTCTCCCTTTCATTATTACATTATCTGTTATATATTTTGAATCTTATTACACTTTCAGTTTTTATTTTACGCTAGGGAGAGAAAATGATATTTACAAATGTAAGTTTGATTTATTTTGCTTATAAGTGTGGTCTCAAGTTGCATCCATTTTACTTATAAAAGTCTCAAGTTTAACCTTTTTTTTGTAGCTTAGTAAAACTCTGTTGTACAAAAATACCACAACTTCTTTTATACATTCCATGGTTGATGGACATTTGTGTTGTTTCTAAGACTCACCTATCACAAATTGTGCTGCTATAAACCCAGGTGCACATATAACACTGTGGTATGACATTTTCAATCTTTCTGGCAAAGTACCAAGGAAATAGCTCGATTGAATGGAACTTCCAATCCTAGTTTTTTGAGGACTCTCCATACTGATTTCCACAGTGATTGTACCAGTCTACACCACAATCTACAGGAGAGCAGCATTCCTTTTCCCCCACAGCCCGGCCAACATTTGTTATTGGTGGAAATCTTGATATCACACATTCTTTCTGGAGTGAGATGAAATCTCAATATCGTTTAATTTGCATTTCTCAGATGACCAGTGACGTTGAACATTTCTTCATGTCTTTATTTTCCATTTGTATTTCATCATCTGAGAAGATCATGTTCATCTCAAATACCCATTTTTGGATTGGATCTTTGAATTTGGGGTCCTGATGTTTTCCAGTTCTTTCTATGTTCTAGATGTAAGTGCTTTATCTGAGGAACAGTTCACCAAAATTCTTTCCCATTTTGTGGATTTTCTTTTTATTTTGTTGGTGATTTCTTTGAAGTGCAAATCTTTTTAATAAGACAAGATCCTAGCTGTTGATTCTTTGAAGTACTTCCTGGGTGGTTTGTATTGGATTCATGAACTGTTTGTCTACCCCCATGACTTCAAGATTTCTTCCTATCTTGTCTTCCAGTATGTTTAGTGTTTCTATTTGAGTATTTATATCTTTGATCAATTTTGTCTTTAGTTTAGTGGTCTAATTTTAGTCTTTGGCATGTGGAAAACCAGTTTTTCCAGCATCATTTATTAAAAAGGCTTTTTTCCAGTGAATATGTTTAGCTCCTTTGTCAAAGAGAAGTTGGCTGAGTGTCTTTGTAACAGTGTTTGCATTTTCTCATCTGTTCTCTTGATCCTCAAGTCTGTTTTTTTTCAAATATCATGCTGATTTTATCACAGTAGTTTTGTAGTATAATTTCAAGTCAGAGATTGTGATGCCTGCTGCCTTGTCTTTGTTGCCCTGGCATTGCATTTGCTATTCTGGGCCTCTTCTGTTTGTAAATGAATTTTAGGATTTTTCCCCTAGATATGTGAGGTATGCTATGCTATTTTGATGGGTGATTGCAATAAATCTGTGTAACAGTTTTGGGAGTATGGCCATTTTTACTTATGTTAGTTCTTACTATCCAAGAACAAGGGATATCTCCATTTTCTGGCCTCCTCCTCAACCTCCTTTTTAAGAGTACTATAGTTTTCAATGTATAGGTATTTACATCCTCTGTTAGGCTGATTCTTACGCATTTTATTTTTTGGGTGCTGTTGTGAAAGGCCTTATTCCATAATTTCTCTCTCACTGTATTTGTTGTTTGTATAGAGGAATGCTTTGATATTTGAATGTTGACTTTGTATTCAGGTACACTGCTGAATTTTCTTATTAACTCAGTAGTCTTTTGATGGAGTTTTGAGGTCTTCTATGTAGAGTTTCACTTCATCTGCAAACAGTGATAATTTAACTGCTTTCTTTCCTATACTTATTTCATTTCTCTCTTTTTTCTAATTGATCTGGCTAACATCTAGAGCTATATTGAATAGGAGTGGTGATAGTGGCCATCCTTGTCTTGTTTGCTTTCTCTAAGTTTTATATTTTTAATGTAAAGCATGCATAATTGGTAAAATTAAACCATTTTAATACATATTGGTGATTTGTATTTTATTTTTATTGTCAACCTAGATTAAGAGGTTTTTCCTTTGTTATCCTTATAAAATCTATAACTTGGCACAATTGAAGTTTTTTTCACTGTTAGATTATATTTCTTGGTGAAATTTCATTTTTGTTATATATATTATATATAGTTTATGTGCTTAAAAAGATATACATATATATGTATGTATGTTATGTACTTCAAATTTGCACAACTTTTTACCACTGAATTTTTTAAAACTTGTTTTATGTACTAGTGTGCAGTCAATCTTGTTGTGGCTGATATGAAGAAGGCATGGTTTGCCTTTTCTTTAGATGAATAAATGTATATAATTGTTAGTGTGTATTTTTGACAATATTTTCACATCTTTTCTTTATTTTTAATACTGACAATTCCTAATGGAAGGATATAATCATTTCCTAGAATGATTGTCAAGTTGTGTGTTTCTCTAGTTCTCTTAATTTTTGTATGTGTATTTAAATCCAAATGTAAGTTGCATACACACTCATATTTTTATGATTTTTAAATAATGTTTAAATTTAATTATGGTTATAACTCTAGGTGTGGTAAGATGCTTAAAATTTATGCCTACTTTACCTGATGATAATGTAGATATTCATAATTTTTCCTCATTCTTTACCTATTGTTATTTCTTTAATTTCTCATGTAAAGTACTCCTACATTAGTAAACATTATACATCCTTTTGAAAATATACTATATCAGTCTTTTTTACTTAGACTTTTGGACTGTAAATTGTGAAATTATTGTCATTATTCAACTGAGATTATTTTTTTCTTTAGATTGCTCTCCATAATTTTATATGTATGTGTGTACATGCCCACAGTTTTCTTTTCCCTACAGTCTTTGAATTATTTCATAAAATTAAAAATGTAACCTAGTTTATTAATTGATATATTGATAATATCTCCTGAATAACTTTCTTTGAAGTTTCTCAAGTGACAATAATTTACTCTTACTTTGTGTGAGCAATTAAAACTTTAAAACATTATGGTTCATTTATACCATATTCAATGTTTTAGTATATTCCTGTGTGAGACTGATTTCAGTTAGTTTATATTGTCATGTATATTTTTAAACATTTTATAAAAGAATTCAAGTAGTCTTTCCTCGTATCACATAAATTGAAAATTGTTTTCTGTCTCTGAAAATTTTTAATAAAAATGCATTGTATCTAGAGATCACCTTAGATGTTATGGACCTTTTAACAATATTCTTTTATTTTGGTGTTGTAATGCTGTACTTTTTTATATTTTCAGATTTCTTCATTAGTATATGTTTATGAAACACAATGTTCACTTTTCTTGTGCAGTTGTTACATGAACATAGCACATCTTACTTCCTTTTTTTGTCCTCTTTCCCTTCCTGCTCTTCTCATTCCATTCATTTCTTGATTCATGTTTTCTTTTGTACATGTTTGCAGAACTTAATGTTTTCATTACTTGTGTGAAGTTGGCACACATACATAATATATTTTAATTCATTTTATCCCTTTTTCTCCCCTCCTTATTCTTTCATCTCTCAATTCCCTAATTCTTTCAGCCCTTGAACATAGAATACTGTACCACTTGTTTGTGAAAATTCTCAAAAAAGAAAATTCCTAAATCCTAAGAACAAAAGCAAATTAAAAATTATGCAACATGATCGAGTAGCACTTATCCCAGAATTTCAAGGATGTTTCAAAATATAGAAACTAAGAAAAGTTATATATTCTATTAATAAAGTAAATAAGAAAACAACATAATTACTGTTAAAAATAAAGAAGAAATTGTTTGACAAAATGAAACATTGTTTACTTAAAGAAAAATAAAAAATTATGTAAAATGCGTGTACTTAAGCACAGTAAGCCTGTAAAGTGCATGTTTACAACTATCACTGCATGAAATGGTGACTTGTACTGAAAATATTACTGGGAAAACTAACCAGAACAATTAGATAAGATAAAATATCACGATATAGAAAAGAACACATTAAATTATCTTTGTTGATGGCATGGTGTTATATACAGGAAACTTAAAAATAGTCTACCAAGAAAATTTAGAACTGATGACAAAGTATTGTAACACTTTGCAAATTCAATAAGCAAAATCAATAGTGATGGTATATACTAAGAATGTATAATGATATACTAAGAAAATGTTACCTTTTGTAATAGTATACTAAAATAAAATATTCAGTAATACATTTGACCAGGAAAATGAAAAATCTGTACTCTGAAAAGTATAAAAGTATGAAAGAAATTTAAGAAGAGACAAGTATTTAGAAATGCATCTCATATTCATCAATTTGAAGAATTGGTCCTGTTTAAGTTCATTATTATTCTTATCATGCTATCAGTTTATAGATACCTAATTTTTTATTGATGGTTTTGGAATGTTCTTTAAATTAAAAAATGTCACTTTTATATTCAGGAATTGTTTACAATGAATTTTTACTTGCTTCTTCCCTATACTGGAGCACTGACATAAATATTTGAATTACACATTTGTTAAACCTTAAACCAAATGGAGCTTGAAATCAAATGGAGCTTGAAGGAAAACTTGCATTGCTACTCTCTCCAAGAAGACTGGATTCCCTGTCACTTTTACCTTTTGTCTGCTGTCTCATCTGTTAATATGGATCTCCTGTTCCTGCCACCTTTTTCTGCTGACCTAAACAGATATTGAAAATTCTATGCCTGGTTTTGTCAGACCAGGTAGATATGATTAACTGAATTACAACTGAATGGCTCAAGGACTGCAAAAGATTTTGATAGACTTAACACTGTGTTTTTAGCTTTATGTTTGGGTAATTCTTTATTTTTTCTATATTTTTAGATAACTTTATATTTGAACTCAGTTTTAAAACACTCCTAGGAACTTAAG